TTTTTTTTTTTTTTTTTCTCTCTCTCTCTCTCTCACTCTCTCTCTCTCACATTCTCTGTTTCTCAAGGCTGGTTCGGTTATATTCCGCGGTTATTGTGCACCCGTTCAGCATCCATAGTTTTTCGTTTTCCTCACTTGGGCGGGGACGGTTCCATCCATAGTCCCCAACTTTGATTAAAGCGTGTTGGGGGCCTTGTGGGTTCCACAATTGACCTGAGCCAGCGAGTAGTCGCTCATTCCATTGTTGGAATGTGTTCCGATCGCATCTGAAACTCTTTGAGGGCTGAGATGCTTTGGGCTCACTCGTGGGTCACTGTTGCTTCTTGTGTTTGCTTGGCCCAAAGTTGTGTCATGTGGGCGGAGATGGTATATGCGCTCATTTGTTCAACGACTACTTACCAACTCGGCGATGTTTGACCTTACCACTACCGTTTCCGTAACATGCCTGCTCTCTCGGCTGATGGTGCGTTGTATTGCCACGGGCCGGCCACTCGTTCTCATTACCGACGCCGCATGCCCACTGGATATTTCCTGATTGCCCCTGCGACCTTGTTCGTTAGAGTAATTTGCCGCTGCGTTGTGATTCGCCTGTAGTTCGGCTTTGACGATATCGTAGTCGCCCTGTTGGTTCGTCGTCGTAAGTTGACCCCGGAGTTGATGAGGTTGAAATCAATTGAGTCCTTTCGCGTCGTGCGCATTCCCGCTCCTGGTCTTGTCGTCCCAACCACGCTCCGCTGCCATGCAAACTTAACAGAAAGACGGGAAAGATCAGTCGACTCCGTTTTACAATGGATGGGCAACCCGAATTCGCGAGTGCGTGCCCTGCACCGCCGTGGGGCGGTCATAAGTACCTGAACCAAATGTCGAAAGCTGCATAGTAGCATCGGGTCCATCTTGCACTCCGCCTCCTCCTCCTCCTCCTCCTCCTCTCCCTCCTATGTTTCCCCCTCGTTCGTTTAGCTTCCGCCCCTGCTGCTGCAGCATCGGTCGCTCCAGCGAAAACAGCATACCGATAACTCCCCCTGGCGGCACCGACCGACTTCCCCCGCTGCGGCGCCGACCGCGGCTCCGATTCCCCTTACACAGGGATCGACCGCTCCTGCGGAACACGTGGCTGCTTTCTGTAAGCCCCTGTAGGGACCTTCCACCCCCTGAGAAAGAGCTGTCTCGGAGTTCCTCCCCCTCTTCCTCCATTCCTTCCCCCTCAACCCCGTGCGGCTCCAGCATTCAAGGGGCTTACGGTTGGCGTCGCAAGGATAGCGTGCATCACCGATCTTCGACAAACACGTCTTCCCCAAAATCAAGCTTCCTCCGTGCACGCTGTCCCTGTGAGGCGATCCCCCGTCGAGGGATCCTTCTGTGCACGCTGTACCCCCTTCCAGGGTTTCCTCCGCGCACGCTGTCCCCCCCCTTGGGGGTAGCGTGTCACAAGCGGGCGCTGGCGGCTCCACATCGACGCTATCTCTGCGTTGCCAACCGTAGCACAACGTAGGCCAAGGACTTCATGATGGCCCGCTGAACCACGCCATGTGCGTATATGACAAAACACGCGTCATGTGCAATCTGTGCGGCTGTATGTCGGTAGGTCGCCGAGCGGTGGGGCTGGACGACGTCTGCTGACGCATAATGGAGACCAACCGCCGCGCTAGTACGCTAGTAATTTGGCGAGGGCGTAGGGCGGGCTGTACCCGGGTCGTAAGCAATACTGTTGAGGGACACGTTCGCGTATGGCGTTACAGGCAATGCCTAAAATCGTCTTTTGAACCCGCGACTTCGTTGAACATTTAACATCAGATCAGACCCTACCCTTTGCCCATCCGCCTCCGCATGCTGCTGCTGCATCTGCTGCTGCTGATGATCCTCATCCTACCGTGGAAGAAGACGACCCCCCAACAGTCCCCCCCCCCCGCTGTGAGCGAAATTCACTGCGGATGGCAGGGGCTGTCCGCACTCCCGCCTAGGCGGCAGGCCCCAAGACCTCGAGCGAGACAAACGGCCAGGCTCGGAGACGCGTGCAGACCACACCGGGGCCCAGACCTCCGACGCCGTCTTTCTTTCCCCGGCGTGGCTCCCTGGAGGTGTCTGGACCCCTTCCAGGAGAACAGCCTTGCATCTGCGTCGTTTCTGACGGTCCCCGGGGCCTGGCGAGGGCCCCCAGCAGCCGAAGCTGGCCAAAAGCTTCCCGTCATGGTCACGGCGCGAGGGGGTCAGGGGAAGTAAGCTAGTCCAGGCCCTCGCGGGAGTATCGGCACTATCAGGAGCCCAGGCAAGCTGCTACTGCGCCGCGAGCATGCACAATACGCGTCCTCGGTCGCGTCTGCGTCGGCATCAGGGTTGTCGTCCTCGGCAGCCTCCCCATCACACCGGCAGAGAGGATACCCTTCGTCTCATCCTCCACCCCTTCCCCTCCCTCCTGCTCTTTCTCCCGCGCCTTCTCTTCCCCCATCCTCCGTCTTCCCCTCTTCGCCAACAGCCAGTCGCTTTGGCAAATGCCATGCCAGTACCGCGGCCTCTGGCCCACCTGCGCTCCTGACAGCCACACGCCAGGACTATGGCCTCTGGCCCCGTCCCCGCGCTCCTTACAACAATACCATGGCCTGTGACCCGCCTGCGTCGCCTGCTTTTCCTTGGCCTCCCCGACCTCGGCCTCCATACTCGCCTTCGCCGTTTTTTCTTCCTCGCGCGAAGCCGCTGCACCTGCACCCGCACTGAGCGGGCCCCTCGGGGCGTCGGGAGCCGCATCTCCCTCACCTGCCTTGGCCCACGGTTGCCTTTCGTACTGCGGCGCTGGAAGAGCAAGCGTACGCAGTTGTCGGCCGCCCCTCCCCCCCTCCACGTCCTCTCCACGGTCCTGGTCTTCGGGGCTATCCGCCAAGAAACCAAGTTTCATCCCGAACAGCCCGGGGCCTTGGGAAGGCCCTGGGAGCCCGACGAACCGCCAAACAAATCTCTGGGGCCACTTTCCTCCGGAACAGCTTTTTATCTAGGATGGGGAGCAAGCAACAGGAAGGAAGTCGATCGCTCGGCGACAGCTCGAGAGAACGGGTCAGCCCTATGTTCATGTGCTCGCACTGAATCATGTGGGTGCCCATTGAAGAGGAAGGGATGTAATTCGATACACCTACACCAGCATGTCCTGTCGGAGGTCCGCGCGAACTTCGGACAACTTATGTCGTACGTTTATAAGGGCAGGGAGGATTTCAGCCACACCAGAATAGGGGGCTGCCTCCACGGGGGGAAGATGATCCTGGACTTTGGTGCTGGTGGCAATCACTCGGCCACCTAAAAAGCCATGAAATCGCCACCATCACCGAGACCAGGGTCATCTTCCCTCGGTGGAAGTAAATCGCCGATCCTGGTGTTGATGCCCCAACCTCTAGGCCTACTATTACGGGCCTGTTTTCCACCACCACCACCATAAGTTGGAGGGGAGAAGGAGGTGGAGGACGAGGAGGAGGAGGAGGAGGAGGAGGAGGAGGAGGAGAAGAAGAAGGAGGAGGAGGAGGAGGAGGAGGACCCCCTCCCCCTCCAACTTATGGTGGTGGTGGTGGAAAACAGGCCCATCAACTATTCTTCCTCGTTCTTCGAAGGGACAGACAGGGAGGCTGTGGGTGACCCCGTCTCAGGTGCCACCCCCTGCCCCCTGCCCGCCGTCCTCTGCGCTCACCGGGGTGCGGCGCGTGCCCCCCCTCTCCTCCCGGACCGCCCTCTGCCCCGCGCCCTCTGCTTCCTTCTTCCTCTGCGTGCTGCCTCGGCCGCTGTACGCTCGCGAGACCAAGAAATCGCCTCGTCCCCTGACGTCCTCGTGTCGTGAAGAGGCCAGGGCGGATTCGGGCTGCAAAGCCAGACCTCCGGGGAGCCACGTCGTGAAGAAGCACGGCCCACTACGTCTCGATCTGATGCTGGTTTCCCTCTTCGATCATTCCTTCCTCGCCCCATCCGGCCTGGCACCTCTCTGCGCTGCTCGCCCTGACCCGCCACGCTCCAGGAACGACACCGTGAAGACCTTCTGGGTGCACGCTCCAACACGACTCGTGCATTCAATTTCCGTGTCCTGGGCCTTTCCTGCAGGTGGCTAATTTAACACGTCGGCGGCACAAGAATTGCGAGCGCGTGTGTGTGTGTGTGTGTGTGTGTGTTTGTGTGCCGGCTTCAACCCGATCGATTCGGAATAAGTTCGTTAGCACCTGATTCTGACGCATCTCGTGGGCGTGCCACGCGCTCGGATGTTCTTACAAACGCTTTGGGCAATTGTTCTTTGCATGTTTGTGGTGCGTGCTCATGTTCAAGAACGGCGATTGTTGAATCGATGTTGGTCGCCAATCGTGTTACATTTTCAAGTCCCGGATCGGCCCGTGGCCCATCTGTCCGTGTTCTTTTCATTGCATTGCGCTTGAAAATTCGGTTTAGACTATCATAATGCCGTCTGAATGAAGCCCACTTTCTGCTTTGCTGTTGAGCAAACTTGTGGCCGCACGGAGGGGAACACCTACACCCCCAGCGTTTTGCACAACTGAGACCACGAGTTAGACATGTGCGTGCGTGTGTGTGTGTGTATGTGTGTGTGTGTGTGTGTGTCTGTGTGTGTGTGTGTCTGTGTGTGTGTGCGTGTCTGCGTGTGTGTGTGTGTGTGTGTGTGTTGCGCGCGTCTGGCCCCTTCCACAGCGGGCACTTGCCGTCCAGGGTCTGGGCTACCACGACGCTGATTCGTACCGACGCGTGCAACTGCCAGGCTTTCCCACACAGCGGGTCGCCCTCCGCCGCCATCCACTGGATTGGGACGCTTGGTGCACTGCGCGACTGGGCGCGCATACCACCACTGCACTGGGACGTAACAGGGTTTCTTCACACTTGGTTTTGTGCAGTTATTCTTCTCGCAACACACCTAAGCTGATAAGCCTGGACAATCCGCCTCGCTTGATCTCTACAGCTTACGCCGCCCGAACCTTTGACGCCCACGATGGACATTGTGAGTGGGAGCGGATGGTAAACTTGCACGTGAACGACGTATACATCCCTGCGCATGTCAATCGCCCTTCTTGGAACAACATAATGAGCTCAACAATGCAGGCGAACACAATGATACGCAACACTGCCAGCCGCCTCGTCCTCACAACCAGCATCATCACGCGAATCCCACTGGCCCTGGCGGCTGCAGAAAAGGACGGGAACAAGGATGAGGCATCGGAAGAAAGCGACGACACGGGGGAAAGGGGGAAGAGGTAGCAAAACGATGTCACTCTCCAGGGGCACTGCTGTGCACAATCTGCCAGGCGTGCGAGGAGGGAGGGGGGGGGGAGGTGGAGGAGCAGCTAGAGGTTGAAGAGGTCAACAAGGAGGAGGAGGAGGAGGAGGAGGAGGAGGAGGAGGAGGAGGACGAGGCACTCCTCCACGTAACGTCCCCCGCCGCTGTCGAACAATGCCAGAGGCAGGGCTGCGACCCTCGAGCAGAAGCGCCTCCGCGCACAACTGGAGCCGGGGCTGCAGCCGTCCGTGCGCTCTGTAGGTGGGCTCCTCCGCCTCCTCGCCCCTCCACCTCGCACCTCCTCGTTCCTCGTTCTTCGCCCTCCTCCTCCTCCTCCTCCACCTCCTCCTCAGGCTGTCCTCATCCCTGCCCTCCTTCTCCTACGCCCACCCCCCCTCTGCTCCTCCTCCCCCTTGCCCCTCCCTCTCGCTACTCCTCATCGTCATCCTTGCTCCTCCGCGCCATCCGTCCAACTCCTCACTCCTACTCGCTCCTCCTCCTCCTCCTCCTTGTTCTCCCCCCTGTCCGCTGCACCTCCTCCTCCTCCTCGCCCTTTTCCGTCCCTCCTCCTTTTGAGTGTCCCCTCCCCGTCGCGTTTACAGAACTGTTGGCAGGACAGGCCCGGCGTTGTGTCTGAGACTTCTGGACCGCTTCGAATCCTAAGGTTCCACTGCAAGCAGGGAGGGTGGGTCGTTCCAAAATGTGGCTCTCGCCTTGTTTGTTTGGCTCGGTATGAAGGGGCCCTGGGACACACAAATAAATAGACACAACTCACCGGATTCCCCATATGTTCCCGTATTTTCTGGGTTTTGTCTCCCCCCCACTTCCCATAATTTCCCATATCTTTTTGGGGGACTCGACGATGAATTGTGTCTGTTTTTTGTTTCCCCCCTCCTGACGGTTATGCGGTCTGTTATGTACAGGCGTGTTTCCATTGACCGCCACCGTGCCGGAGGCACTGAGTGGGGTGTCCTCGGGCTCCCTGGAGCTCTCTTCGGGAGCGGCAAAGGGGGGTGTCCAAGAGGGTTTTGTGTGTGTGTGTGTGTGTGTGTGCAAATCATGACCGGCGGCATGTGCGCGGCCCAGCGGGGGGGGGCCAGGGACGTAATGAAATAAGAAGAGGCGCCACGAAATCTGGGAAATATCATGGCCCCCGCCATGATATCCCCCCCCCCCCTAGTCATCACCCCCTTTTTTTGCCGCCCCCGCTCTCTGCACACAGGACTCTTTTTGAAGGGCCCGGGCCCCAGCTCGCCCGATCTCCCTGGGCGTGGCGCGCGGCTCTCGGGGCACGCCGTTTTGGCTTTCTCCTGGACGCCATGAGTGTCCGCTGTGCGCGCTCGCGCAGTGGCTGCCTCAAGCGCCATTTCCAACTTCTCGTGGGCGGACACACATCATACGCCCTGCTCGTCCTCCTCCTGCTCCTCCTCAGTCTTCTCCACCTCCTGGATGTCTTCCACACTACTCTTGCTCCCCTCCTCTTCGCCTGTCTCCTTCGAACGATCCGCGAGATCATCTGATGTGGTCACTACTGGACTGCATGCTGCCATACTCCCCTGACACAAAAACTTGCCTGAGGATCGTTAGTGCATGGGCTGGGTGAGGATACGCGAAACGTCAATCACGGTTTTCCCAATGTGGGACTCACAGTCGCGCCGCGCACACACGCCTGAAACAAATCCGACATTGCACGTCCGGAGGGCCGGTAGTCTTCAGTCTGCGGCTTACCTAATTCCAATCATTACACGAATGGATGGAGGCTATTCTCTCTACATCTGTAGTTCTCGCTCCAGGCGTCGCGCACATCTGTCTAGACGCTTTCAACCATCAGCATGGTACAGGGCGGTTCCTTCTCAAAGCGTGGTTCTCGCTGGATGCGTCCTCCTCCTCCTCCTCCTCCTCCTCCACCGCCTCCTCCTCCTCCTCCTCCTCCTCCTCCTCCTTCGCCTCCTCCTCCTCCTTCGCCTCCTCCTCCTCCTCCTCGGGTCGCCTGCGGACCAGAAGTGCATCTTTGCCTGGGCGTCCTTTCTAAAATGGGGGCTCTCGCCGGAGACGTCGTCCTCGCCTAGGGCCAGAGCTTTTTAGACTCGTGCCATAGGTGGCACCGGTGAGGGGCGGCCCCTTTTCAGAGCGGTGCTCTTCGTCGGTACCTTCCTGAGCCTGATCGTCGCCCAAGTGTGGGCTTATGGGGAAAGGACTTGGGACGGGGATGGTATTACAGCATCATTGGCGCATACTTGGTTTAGCAAAGTCTCACGCGCCCACACCATAATCCAAGATCCGAGAGGGCCGACACTTTAATGAACCAGCTGGTCAGGTAAATCGCTTGTGCTCAGGGAGAGAGAAAGGACAAGCAAGAAAGAACCACGGGAAAACAAACGTCAACTCCTCGTCCTCCTCGTCCTCCTCGTCCTCCTCCCCCTCCTCCACGATTCGTTTCACTGTGGTCGTCGCGCTCCTCCTCACTCCCACCTGCGTCTCTCTGCTCCTCCGCCTATCCTTGCTCCTATTTCGTATACACTGCTACTCTGCCGCGTAGCTGGCCTATAGCAACTCAACCCTAGCAACTCAATCCGGGATGTTCCACCCTACCTGCGCAAACACAATGCAACATTAAACATTTTTGATAAGATGGACGTCGTGACGTCGACGGTGCCCAGTGCGTTTCTGGAGTGGGGCGGCGTGCACATCCCACACGAAAGGGCGAAATGCTGCTCTCGCATCGGCGCCGAGCTCATTTCTCCGAAGAGTTGACCTCCCGCTTGGGCGCGCGGGGCGTATCTATCGCTGGCCAATTCGTCGACGCGCGCGGACGAAAATGTCGCTGTCCACGCGGCGCGGCGTTTAGTGTTTCTCGCCATGTCGTTGGGGGCAAGGCCGCGCGCGAGCGGGCGACTCGTCGCCCTCGCCCAGGCTCAATGCATGCTTCGCCTGCAGCGGCGCGCCCGCGTGGGCAGCGGCAGCGGCGGAGGGGCCGCGCGAGACCGCGCGAGATGCTGCCCTCGTCCCACAAGCGCCGCGCAAGCGGCGCGCGAGCGAGGCAGCGCCACAACCTGCGCCGCGCTCCTTGGAGTCCTGGCCGCCCGAGGCCGGGCCGAACGGCGCTCCCGCCGCCGCGCCGCGCAGCGCTCTCTTCGGAAGCCCCGCTCCCGCCCGTGCGCGGCCCGCGCGTTGGTCCGCGCTCGGGCGTCGGAGCCGGGGCCGCGCGCGGGCGCGCCCCGTGCGCCGGATGGGGGCGCGCTCCAGCCCTCATATTGGCAAGTTGTGCCAGCGCTGATCCTGCTGCTGTGGGAGGGAAGGCAGAAAACACACACAAAAACACACACACACACACAAAACAAACACACACAAACACAAACACAAACACAAACACACACAGACACACAGACACACAGACACACAGACACACAGACACACAGACACTCACACAGACACTCACACAGACACTCACACAGACACTCACACAGAGACTCACACAGACACTCACACAGAGACTCACACGGAGACTCACACAGAGACTCACACAGAGACTCACACAGAGACTCACACAGAGACTCACACAGAGACTCACACAGAGACTCACACAGAGACTCACACAGAGACTCACACAGAGACACACACACAGAGACACACACACAGAGACACACCCACAGAGACACACACACAGAGACACACACAGAGACACACACACAGAGACACACACACAGACACACACCCACGGACACACACACACAGAGACACAGAGACACACACACAGAGACACAGAGACACAGAGACACAGAGACACAGAGACACAGAGACACAGAGACACAGAGACACAGAGACACAGAGACACAGAGACACAGAGACACACAGACACGCACACACACACACACGCACACACACACACGCACACACACACACGCACACACACACACACGTGGGAAGAAAACAACACAAAACACACACGTGTGTGTTTTTGTTCCCACGTGTGTGTTTTTTGTGGGCGGGGCCCGCTCACTCGCTCGCTCTGGCCACCTCGGCTCCTCCTCCTCGCCCCTCCTCCTCGCTCCCCCTCCCCGCTCCTCTGCCTCTCCCCCCGCCCGGCCTGCTCGCCCGCCCTCGCCAAGGGGGGGGGGGACGGCCCCGCGGGCCCGGTCCTTCTTGAACACCTGGACCTCCTGCAGGGGAGGGCTGGGGCGATCGGAGCAGGGCCCCCTCGCAGATGCCGAGGAGACGGGCCGATGAGGGGCGCCCCCTCCTCCTCCTCCTCCTCCTCCTCCTCCTCCTCCTCCTCCTCCTCCTCCTCCTCCTCTGGCCACCAGCTCCGCAGTCGGCCGCGCCGCGGCTGCACTGCCGCTCGGGGGGCCCGGCCCGAGGAGGATGTTACGCGCTTCGGGTCTGCTTCTGAAGCATCAGGGCGGGTCCAAGGAGGCCCAGAGGCACAGGAAGCGTTTCGGAAAGTGCCTCGCCATCAACCAGGTTCTTTGGAACGGAGCAAACGCAATGCAGAGAGCGTGCGTGCGTGTGCTCCCCAGTTTGCGGGGCCGCCCTCGCGTCACTGATGCTCGCGTGCTGTGCGCTTCTTCGAAGCCCGTGAGAACTCAGACGTGTGTGCACCTCTGCGTCACTCCTGACCGCTGCCACCCCACACCACTGTCCAGCACACACTTACATGGACTATGGATTCAAGAGTCGGGGAAAAACACCCACGAATCGCGAAGCCAGTGGCGCCTGATGTGGCGACGGAGCGCGTCGATATCGTATGGAAGCGTGGCCCGTCGCTAGTCCACGCGCCTTGATCGCTGCTTGCGTTTCCTTGACGCTGAAGCTGGTGCCACAAGCATTTGCCACGCGAGACTTCCAACACTTGGCGCCGGAAGCCCTGGACCCAAAAACCTTCCCGTCTCTTGGGCGGGCGATTTTTACTTCCGCCAGCTTCCGCTGGCCTTCCGCCGACTTCCCGCCGAGGACGAGACGACAACTCCTGCGATCCTCGAGGCGAGGCCCTCGTCTGGAACGCACACCGTACGGCGCCCCGGAGAGCTATGACAGGGCGGAGGCCGCGAGGCGCCTGCTCGCCGTCGGGGGCGGCTCCCTCGGCGCCTGGAGCGCGCACTGCCGGCACCGGCCCCCAGGAAGGGCTTGGCGACGACTCGCCGAGCAACCTGTGGGGATCAGGCCAGAGGCCCCCAAGAGGCCCCGAGAGGCCCCCACGAGGGCGCCACGATGGGGGTCCATAATGGGCTTCCGATTTCGGGGGCGTCGGCTCCCTCCCTGGGCGTCAAAAGCATTGTCCATCGCCGCGCCGTGTGTTCTCGACGCGCCAAAGTGGACGACGCCGACACAACGGCAAATCCACGGCAAACCCTGAGACCCGCGCCCCAAGAGGACGCAGCTGACACCGCGGCAAACCAATGGCAAACCCACCTTGCCCGAGGCGGAGTATGCCCTGGTGCCCGCGGCGACCTCCCCAAGACGCAAGGCTACGCGTCGGAACAAACGGCGCGACGACACATCCACCACCGTGCTCTGACGGGCGACTTGGAGTGTCCTGAGGTCCTTCGAGTCCACAGTTCTCAATACGGAGGACTCTTTTCAAAGGGCCCACAGAGCAGAGCTCCGGGCGCTTTGGGGCACCTCCGGGCGCTCCCGAGATTTCCCGCATGACATTTTTGTGAACCACGAGGGCCACAAAACGGCTCAAAAGGGCCTCAAGATGCCCCTGAGACGGTCCAAGAGTGCCCCGAGTCGCCGAGATAGGCCTGCAAGGCCCCCGAAGGCGGCGCAAGAGGCCCCCAAGACGGCCCAAACGAGAGGGACAACGAAACTGACATATCGAGCGCTCCGCCCCCAATGCCAGCGAGACCGCCAGCAGGCCCCAAAGAGGGCCCCCAGAAGCCCCAGGGGGGGGCCCAAGAGGCCCAAATCAACTCCCAATTGGCTCAACTCAAGCCCAAAGAGGCCCCGAAGAGGCTCCCGAGAGAGCCCCAAACCGCCTCCAAGAGGCCCCCGAGAGGCCTCCCAAGAGATCCCGACAGGCATCCAAAAGGCTTCTGACCTGCAACCTAGGCACGGTGGCGGAAGGGGCCGACGGCCACTAGATCCGCCGCCCCCTGTTCATTTATCACAGGGGTGCCCGGCGTGCTAGATCCGACGGCTTGTTTCTGGTTTTCCAACAGAACTCCCCCTGGGGCTTCGGTCCATGCCGCCGGCCATCTAGAATGCTGCGATAGACCTGGTTGCAAAGGTTCTTCCTGCTGCAGATGGCTCCAAGATGTCCCAAGAGACGGTTAGGATGACCCTCGCCTTCGCCCAAGATGATCCAAGATGGCCTCCAAGACGGCCCAAGAGAGTCCAAGATTGCTCCAAGTTCGCCCAAGAAGCTTCCAAGACGGCCCAAGATAAACCTAGGGGCCTCCAAGAGGCCTCCATGATTGCCCAAGAAGCCTCCAGGAAGAACTCCAGGAAGGCCCGAAGAGGCCAACATCATGAATTTACCATCGGTTGCTGTCGGCCTTGCGACAGCCCAAGGCGGTCCAAGAGGCCCCCAAGATCGCCCCAAGGAGGACTCCAAGGCACCCACGATGGCCCCTATCACGGCCCACGAAGCCTCCAAGACGGTCCCAAGAGAGCCCCAAGATGGCCCAAGAGGCCTCCAAGACGCCCAAGATAGCCTCCGCGACGGCCCTGGAGCGCCTCAAGAGGGCCCCAAGTCGGTTCAGAGAGGCATCCACTTCCGACGGCGTCAGACGGGCCAGGAAGGCACGAAGACGGCCAAGGCGGCACCGAACAAGCCTCCAACGGCTCCGAAGAGGCCCAAGGAGGCCCCCAAGAGGCCTCTCCAAGGCCCCCGGGAAGCTCCCAGGACACCCAAAGAGTGCCCCAAGAGGCTTCCAAGAGGCGTCCTCCTCCTTCTTCTTCTTCTCCTCCTTCTCCTCCTCCTCCTCCTCCTCCTCCCTCCAAGGCAGCCGAGATGGCCCCAAGACGGCTCAAGATCCCTCCAGACGACCCAAGAGGCCCCCAAGACGCCCCAAGAGGTCTCCAAGAGGATCTCGACGAGGCCCAAACCCTAAATTAGCCAAGCAATTGTTGCACACATTTTTACGTTCTCGCCTTTGTGGGCTTACGACGCCCCAGGCAAGCCCCATATGCTTCCGAGATTGTGGCAAGACGGCCCAATAGACCCCCGAGAGGCCCGCAACATGGCCCAAAGACAGCCCAAGAGCCCCCCAAGACTGTCCCACCGGCCTCCACGACGGCCCTCAAACGCTCAAAAAAGGACCCACGACTGCCCAACGAGGACCCCAAGACGGCCTCCAAAGGCCAAGAGGTCCCTCAGATACCTGCTATGGGGCCCCAGGAGGCCCCTTAAGAAGCACATGGAGGCCCACAAGAGGCCCCAGGAGGCCCCAAGAGGGCCTCAAGAGGCCTCCAATTCTTCCTCGTCCTCCTCCTCCTCGTCCTCCTTCTCCTCCTTCTTTCTCTTCCTCCCCCGATCGTCCCCCCGCAAGGGATTCCATAACGGCTCGGGGAACACGTATTCCAATAGTTTGGCCAGAATTCGGCCCAACGTTTGGCCGCATGGGCGTTTCCAGAAGGCACGGGGCGGCGGTGATTCGCCGTCGCCCGATGCGCGCGGCGTGCCAGACTTTAGGTCCGAGTGAGGGGCCGAACGGTCATTCACTGTCCCTGGGCGCGTGGCTGACATGAGGTTTCGCGGTGCGGATTGTTGTTGTTGCTGCTGCTGCTGTTTTTGTTGCTGCTGAATCTGAATTGCAACATAATCATTACGGTTGGACCCCCCCTGTCGAGGCGCCCAGGCGCTGTCGCCTCCGCGCGGGCTGCATTTCCAATACGATCGAGGCTCACGCTCACGCGCTTCGGGGGTGCGCCGAAACCGGCCCTCAAGCAACAACAACTGGTGCTCCCGCAAGCGGCCCCCTTGCAAACAACGACGCTCCCGTTCGATACTTCCTCTGCTTTTGCACAACAGAGTGCCAGAGGCCCTGAAGCTTCCCTGATCCGTTTTCAACCGTAACAGTTGGAACTTACTATAAAGGGACACCCTACGTCTGCATTGGCGCTCGCGCCTCGGCGCCAGCTGCATTTCTTTTGAAACTTAAGTTCGCACTCGAGCGATTCGGCGTTACGCCGAAGCCGGCCCCCAAACAACAACAACAACAACAACAACAACAACAACAGCAACAACAACAACAACAACAATTACTAGCACGTGGGGACACTCCGTTCTCACCAGTGCCAGGGTTTTCATAGGAGGCGGGCAATACCCCCACTTTGTGGGGGGGCCGGTTCAAGCTCTACCAAATTTCCAAACGACTCTTCGCCACCACCCACACCCAGCTTCCCGCCCTATGACGTTCGGACACTTCACTTCGTGGCATGCGGACGACCGTGGCTACTATTCAGGGCCCCGCGGCCGACGACGACGGCGTGCGCGCGCGAAGAAAAAACGAATGTGTCCCGCATGGTATTATTTGACAGGGATGATGGCCCTGGCAGGTGCGCAACCGTTGTTGCAGAAGTTCGAAAAAGTTGCTCGCAAAAGCCCGTTTGACAGAAATGTTTAAAAAGTGTTGGGTTTCCTACGAATCCGCAAGAGCGCGCGGGATGAAATTTTGACATTTTTTTTTTGAAAAACCATTGGTTTTTTGATGTTTTTATGTTAAAATCGCTACGAAAACTAAGGTTTTGGAAGGATTTCGTCTTGCGCGCGCGAATGTCCACTTTACCTTATTTTTTGCAAGGGATTCTTGAAGTTTGGTTATGTTAGAACAAGAAATGTCCACTTTAGCTTTTTTTGCAAGGGAAAACGGGCAACAAAACAACCGGATCTGGATCACATCGTTTTGCCTGAGACTTCCTCACGAAAATGATGAAAATGTGGCTGCGGCCTAGGCGCGGCGGGGGGGGCGCGCACCAGGGGTCCCAACAATAATTATTCTTAAGAAGAAATAATGTTCAACAACAACAACAACAACAACAACAACAACAACAACAACAACAACAACAACAATCACAACACCACCAACAACAACATCAACAACAGCAACAACAACAACACCAACAACAACAACATCAACACCACCAACAACAACAATAACAACAACAACAATAACAACAATAACAACAACAACAACACCAACAACAACAACATCAA